AGTTATTTGTATAAAAGATTACGCGGTAATAGGCGGTTTACGATTTACGAGGTATTAAAAAAAAACTACTTACTAGATCTCGTTCAAAACAATTTTCGTTGGTAGTTTTTATAGTAATGTACATCATATTATTATGTTTTTTTAGGCTTTTCATNTTATTTCTATAATTGAATGTTTTCAATTTTAGAATATTAAATCATACTATATCGGTGAAACCAAAAACTTAACATTTAAAATGTGTTATTCATGAATCTTGTCGTTCTACAAGGTAGGTATTTTAGTGATTCATAAATGAACTTGACCTTCTCATGATTAACTTGATCCGGGTTGCTATTTCGGTAAATTGAGCCAAAAGGGTCATGCACTTGTATGATCCTCATACAAATTGTTTAATCGATTAACGACTAAATGTGCAAATGACATTATCTTAATGTACTTAATTTAATTAGTTGGCGCCATTATAAAGTAAGGTCCTGTTATTCGCTAGTAGTAAGTTAAGTTTCTGGGGATAGAACTAGCATCCTCTCGATCCAATACCTACTCCAATCCGTAAAGCTATTGCCCCTTTTAATGTAGGTATTTAGTTACTATAAGTACCTACTTAAGAGATTATACAATACGACAAATGACCAATTTTTGGAATGCAACTGTTTTTAAACCACTAATTAGTTATCCAACAGTTATTGGTAGATTAACAGACGATTAAAACTAAATTATGATAATTTTGTAGAGATTAGTCAGTGAGAGCTTAACAAATTAATTTAATGTAGTTAATGGATTATTTTGTCATCTCTTTTTAAATGCTAACAAATCCGTATTTTTAACTGACTTAATATGAATACTAATTTCTAATGTAGGTAATGTATATCGATGGCATATCAAGGTAAATTCTATAGACGAGCTAAGATACTTCAGAACATTAAAGCATAAACTTAAAGCTAATAATACAGCATCTACTTAGTACAACAGTCCTCTAGATATTTCCAGACGAATAAAGAACCACCTTTTTAAGGTGGTTAAAAATCACACCTAATAGTCACTACTTAAGGTTCGGCCAAACCAATGCGTGCAGCTTGCGTGCGCGATAGCGATGGCGATCCTACTCATTTGGACTGATCACCATCGCCATCGCGCACGCAGGCTGCACGCGTCGGTTTGGTCGAACCTTTAAGGCATCCCTATGTCATCACTTAGACGTGTCTCCATTCGACATACCAGCACTAACAAATAGTGAAATAGCAATTAAGTCTTTCGCGGAATTCTGTAAATATATTGTAAATACCGTTAAGGAATATAATGATACATAGTCATAAAAATTCATAAAAAAAAAATATAAAAAATATTAAAAAAAATTATAATAATTAAAAAAAAAAGATCTTGTAAATATAACCATCATCATCATTTGTAAATATTGTCTCGCATCAATATCTTTTTCAGTTTGCTCGTAGAAAATTGCGAGAAACTATCCTACTCTCTCAAAACTTAATAAAAGTAACCTAATAATAACAACATCCAATTAAAAAAAAAAACATTGATTCTGGTAGCAAAATACCAGTTAAAAAAAATGGAACTTGAGGTGCCATCTGTACAAAAAGTCATAACAGCATTTAATGACAAGTAAGATCCCAACTACCGCAACGACAGCAATAATTACTAACGCCATTGTAACAGTGTAGCATTAACTGTGTGGTTAAACTTACTGTGACAATGAAAATTAAAAAGATTACATTACTGTATCCTAGACTGCTTTAATAATACCCAGGATAAAAAATGAATGAAATATTTTTTTTTTTCATCTAATACAGTGTACAGTTATATTACAATTTTGTAGCAAATTATTTTGGTGAACTAGAGCCTAAACTAGGACAATCCTAAAAATATGTGCTTAATACGAGTTTATTATAAAGCAAGTATTGAATCCATCACACTGTCATAAAAATAATAAACATCATTTATTTCCAGAAGTTGGCTCATGAAAAATACTTTTACACGTTCCAATATATTTTTTCTAACATTAATCCCATCTCTGTTTCAGGAAAATTATTTGGGATGGTGCTGAGGAGAGCAGCTTCAGCCTCGTTTTTTAAAAAAACCGGCCAAGTGCGAGTCGGACTCACGCACAAAGGGTTCCGTACCATTGATTTATGAAATTAAAACTTTATTATTTTTTTAATTTAAGTTATTTGTATAAAAGATTTCGCGGTAATAGGCGGTTTACGATTTACGAGGTATTAAAAAAAAAACTACTTACTAGATCTCGTTCAAAACAATTTTCGTTGGTAGTTTTTATAGTAATGTACATCATATTATTATGTTTTTTTTTTATTTTTCATTTTCTTATTTCAGAAGTTAGAGGGGGGGAGCACTTTTTTCCACTTTGGAAGCGTCTGTCACGCAAACTATTCGGTTTAGAAAAAAAAAATTTTGTGTTTCAGTTCTAAGTATGGGGAGAGCCCCCAATATATTTTTTTTTATTTTTGCATCAAAATCTTAATGCGGTTCACAGAATACATCTACTTACCAAGTTTCAACAGTATAGCTCTTATAGTTTCGGAAAAAAATGTGACATACGGACGGACAGACGGACGGACAGACAGACATGACGAATCCATAAGGGTTCCGTTGTTTGCCATTTGGCTACGGAACCCTAAAAAATACAAGATTATTTTATAAAGAACCTGTAACCATGGCCAGCGTTGTAGTCCCGCTCACAAACAGGCCAGTGTTGCCTTGATATCTTATGAGAAGCTCATGACCAGCAATGGGCTAATAATGCTGAGGACTAGTGATGTCTAATTACAACTGACAAAATGTATACTGGAGGCAGATTAAGATTTTTTTATTAAGAGATGCCTCGAACTTTATTTTAATTGAAAAAAAANAAAAAAAAGTACTTCGGTGGTTACTGAAACTATGTACGACCCTCCGCTCGCCGACTGCTGATCGCTGTGTTACAGACTTTAATTTTTAGCATTAAGAGTCGCATCTCAAACCAATTTTCAGATTTAGTTTCAAATTCATATATTTATTTGCACATTTTGGGTAACAGTTACTTAATTATTTGCCGAATAGCATTCTGATATGCTAGTTCCTAGAATTAACTGCATAGTTATTTAATTGGCTTCGTCGGAAGTTGCAGTTTTGTTATCTGTAATTCGTGGAAACTCGCGGTTTGTACTTCGTTAGCTGTTACATGCTTCGAGGATGAAGTTAGGGATCTAGTATGAACTCGTAGTTCTGTTAAGAAAGTTTAATATAAGTTACCTAACTATAACCAAAGAATACCTTACCTACTTATTCCTAAATTACATTCATCTCGTAATCACAACTACTCATATGTTTCTATTTCAAATAAGCACTTCTGTTTTGTTTTTTTTTGTTTGGAAGAAATCGTTTTTTTATTTTCTTTTTTCCAAAAAAAAAATCAAAACCAAGGTGAATGTAAAATCCCAACAAGTTTGAAACCAAAATTTGCCAAAACATTATGGTTAGTTAAAATTATTCAGACATGTAAAACCTTTTATAATTGAACTCGTGCTGTTGACTGGAGGAAACTGCTATCTTATCAGCATCAGTAATATTACATGTTATTTTTTATGAAATTATAAATTGAACAATAAAACAACTGTCCATATAATAATATTAACATTTCCTAAATACTTTCTTAAAAAGTTACATATACCTACCTATGTAATCATTAATCTACTATGAAAACTTTTCCTTTCACACAGATGTAAACAAATAAATAACATTTGCGCAATACTTCAAAGTTAATTAACACGTTATTTATTAACTCAACGAACGTGTTTATCTATACTAATATTATAAATGCGAAAGTAACTCTGTCTGTCTGTCTGTCTGTCTGTCTCTCTTTCACGCCTAAACCACTGAACCGATTTTAATGAAAGGTATAGAGTTAGTTTGAGTAACGGGAAAGGACAGAATAGTTTTTATCCCGGTTTTTGAAACAGGGACGCGCGTGATTATGTTTTTCTGTGACAGACAAAATTCCACGCGGGCGAAGCCGCGGGCGAAAAGCTAGCTATAAAATATGTACGTTACATGCACGACATTTTGATTTCTTGTATTTTTTCCTTATTACCCGAGCTGATTACTTTATGAGCTATTATTATTTGATATTGTGATAAATCTATTAATAAACATAATGAATCAAAAACGGATAGGTACTAGTGATTTTAAATGCGAAAGTAACTGTCTTATATTTGCTTTAAAGTCATAACACCTAAGCAGTTGGAAAATCTTCACTGATGAACGGATTTTTGAAAAATTTTCAATCATTTCCTAATTTTCCAAGCAATAAATTTAGTAATAAATTTTCCAGGTAGTAAAATAGGGGATGAAAAGTTTGTTTGCCTAATATTACATTATATTCTGAGTTAGAGATATGAATCGATAATATGCTTTCTTTGGTAAAATATTTTTTGTAACAGATCGAAAATCAACAGAGCGTCGCACGCCGCGACATCGCTGAATAATCCAACAATATTTTTTAACAAACGAGTAGAATGTTTAACAAAAAACAAAAATACAGTTTCTAAACTTCGATCTTAAAATTCGTAATCATAATGAAATCATCGTGATTGCATTATTTATCATGCAAATCGCTAACAATGCGTTGCGACCGCGTAGCATGCACCATGCAACCTTGAGCATTTTCAAGAAAACTGGTGCGGGCTCTAGTCTTAAAATAAAAAGACCTGAAAACAAAATAGTGATGTAACCTAACATCCGTGATTCGGATATTAGTGCACGGTATTATTATAAACAACACGTTTTAACGTTTTTAAATTGCTCTCTCATTCCGTAACGATCTCACGGCTTTTTTTACCGTCACGCACCGGGTCAAGGTGAACGATGAGAAAGGCAAAAATTACGCTTTCACTAGGAATTGTTATATTTTTAATTCACGCCATCAAAATGCCATCACTGCAGTTATCGCATGCGCGGTAAGCGCGAAGTGCGAACAGCTGATCGCTTACCTTTGACTGCGAGGAGTCCGGTTGCATGTAGTAGAAGAGGAATAGCATCCATGCAGCTGCAACTAGGCAGAGGATTTTGAGATTCCGCCTCATTTTTGTTTTTTGTCACAGCACTTCGTGGAACGGAACGTTGGAACGCGTTGTTTACTATTTGAATTGTTGTGTGGTCGCGGGCGGCGCGCGGCCGCGCTCGGTGCCTGGAGCGGACTGACTGCGCGGTGCCCGATCATGCGCGTATCGGTCCTCGAACCCCGTTTGAAAATAGAACTCGCGATACTGCAGCGATGGCGCGTGCGGTGCATTGTTTGGTTGACAGGTCATGGAATTTGAATAGGGTTCACGATTTGAAATTGGAACAAAGATGGAAGTCAAGTCGGCCTCGAGTATTGCCAACATCAAAGAAGAAGAAGCTGCGACAGGTTGGGCGACAATTTGGCGTTTAATATCATTATTATGTGTCTTTTGTATTGTAAAAAGATGCAATCGATTTTGTTTGTAATATTTTCCTACATATTTCTTGGATAAAATAAATTTGTATTTTCCTGTTTGTAAGGCCTAAAATAAATATTTAGATCTAGATTCTAGAACTATGCACCGGTCCAAACCTAAATTATTTCAGAAAAATAGGCTTTGCGGTTCGCATTTTACTAATTAATTTTGTAACAGTATTTAATTTTATCCAAAACAATTAATACTAATGTTAATTCATTGTAAACTGTATAATAATTAATTGACTTGTTTGTTGTAGGCGGTAATGTGATAATCTGTTGGAGAGAAATGTAATATTAAAGTAAAAAAATAAAGTAAAAACCGCCAGCTTTTAATCAAAGCATGCACACAAAAATGTAATCCGAAGTTAATAACATCTCATAAGGCCTCAATTAAATAAAGATTTAATTTTAATTAATTATTCGATATAATTAATATAGTCATTCGCAGCTAAACAGCGATACTCGTACAATAAAACCCTGCTGATAATAATCGTCACTAAAATTCGTCATAGTAGGCAAAACTAAACTTTCTTATCAATCAATTAGGTATTACCGCTTGTTATCAATAATAAAGTAGGTATTATAATAATATGTACTTCAGCGAACAGATTAAAGCTTAATGTGAGTAAATATTTACATGCTCACCGCGTTATTACACAATACATTATTTATTATTATTCAGTGTAAGTGCTACGCGCTACGTCGTAGGCCGTAGCGTGTGTAGCGTCATTTCGACTACGGAAAATGTTTTATTTTTTCAGACCCGTTTATTTATTTAGCGGTAAATGTACATGTACATTTAGTAAGTACATACTTATGTGATGATTACCTTCTAACATAAGGTATGGCACTAATATTATAAAGAGGACAGATTTATTTTTTGTTTGTCTTGAATAGGCTCCGAAACACTGGACTGATTTGAAACATCAGTTTCAATTCAAAACATTTCTCTATTAGATCCCTAATGAATGTATAAGTGATACGAGTTCGCCGGGTCAGCTAGTAACTTATATTATTCGAATTTAGAACGCGTTGCCTTATTTACTATTGTGACCTATTGATTAGCATAGAAAGACACTGTTGTACATTTTACATTTCAATAATGCTTTTATTCATTGAATACTTATTACTCATACTTTTTACTTTAATTTAAAAACCTAGTTTTCCTACTTGTGTACAAATGTATAGTTTCTGACTCTACATTTTCCAGTACAAGCCATCGTAGTGTGCCCGGTAACGCCATCTCTTGGTTTCGCAGTTAGTTACTCAGTGAATCGCTTTGTTACGATGTGCATGGCTCTTACATTAGATGGCGCTTTTAAGTTATTCTATAGTGAGATAGAGCTATATTTTATACTGGTTAAAAAAATGCGGATTTCATTCCTAAAAAAAATCTTTTTCAGGCAAGGCATTTAAGCAAGAATTTATTTTTTTAAAGTATTTTTCATAGATGCCATGACATTTCTTAAATCAGATAATTATGATCAATATCTGAAAAAAATAATATATTTTATGTCAAAATTTTCAGCCTCATTGTATGTCAAAATTTTCAACATTTTGAAAATGCTGTATGCAAGTTTTGTCAAAATAATTAATATTAAGTAAAATAATATGTGGTCAAAGTAACAAAAATACAGAAAAACGCAATCACACAGTGCTTAACTTGATATCCGGTCGTCTGCAATAGCTACTACCTACTATTCTATCAATTTTGTAGGTAGTTTAAGTGACTCGTGTTTATCCCTAGTTTCAATACTTATTTAAATTATTAAATTAATCAGAGTGATTAATATTCATAGCCTACGAAAAGTATTTGCACAGCGCTTAAAAATTCAAAAGCTAAGGATCGATCAGAAAAAAAAGGCACAGATAAAAAGCAACGAATGCATTCCGTCCACAATGGCCTGCATCTGTCATTCTATCCCGAAAAATCCCAGTGTGTTTCCCGCCAGAACGCGCGTGCGGTCGGTCGGGAACGGGCGTTTGTCGCGGTCGAGTGCTCCCAACTTTCGTGTTCCATTTCGATTTAAATTTTTATTATGGTGTTTAAGATCTTTATTCCTCACAAGAATTTCAATTAAACGTGAGATAATTAAAAAATTCAAATTCAGTTCGACTGTTCCAGCAACTATCGGCGTTCTTTCAAATTCGAATTTTAAATTCAAACCTACCCTGTTTTAGTTTTAATTATGTTGTTGTTGAGGCCAGTGTTTGTTTGAACTTTTTATTTTTTANGTTTTTTTATTGATTGGATTATTTGAGTGTTATTGAAATTATGTGTTGAATGACTGTCTTCTTGACCTCAAAGATTGTTGGACGCTAAAGCAATGGTAAGTTTAATTTTATTAAGTTTTATTACCACCTTTAAGTAGGTTATTTTTACATAGAAACAAGTCAACTTATTCTTTTAGCTAAATACAATGTTTTGATGTTTAAATTCAATAGCTGATGCCTCGTTTCTATAGGGAAATGGCCAATATTAAGTCCTAAGAAAGTTCTAAAGTAAGTAATTTGCATAGGACGGACGAGTTCGCTAACTTAAATTGTTATTAAGGGTATAATATCAGATTTTTTTTTTACCCTTGAACTGAAGCTTTATTCAACGTATACATAATACGTATGATTAATAATAGTCAAGTAAGTAGATATATTTTGGGTAGAAGTAACATAGAATTAATATGGTTTTCTTTGTCGAATTAGTAAAGTTGTACTTACAAATATCAAAAACTATTATTTTCGTAGTTAAATGAAATTAATTAAAGATTGTACGATAGTAAATATAACTTTCTGTGAAACATTGAAAGTAAAACCGGGATACTGAAGCTAGTTTAAAATAAGCATTTAATTTGTATGAAGTGAAGCTCGCTCGCAGACAGTCTGGAGGGCCCTAGGGCTCGTTATTACGCATGTTGCACACGCACGCGGAGAAAAATCCTGCTATCTACATAATATTTACTTACTTAGTTGTTTCAAAAAAAAATGGAGGGTGTGTGAAACGATGCTAAACATTTTCTTTAGTAGAGAATCAAACTAACTTGTACTTGTTTTCTGCTTGAAGAAAAACTATTAACTTACCTACAACTCCCCTGGATTTGCTATAGTTAAGAAAAAAAATCGCCTGTTAAAATCATACAGCGTCCTGTGACCAAACGCAATTTTTGTTACAAAAGATAAAATTAAGTTTTATGTCGATGACGTGAAATGTTCACTTCCTATCTAATTTATGTTTACTTATACAAGTATCAAGCATCAATTTATTTTTGAATGATACCAACGATAAAGTCGACAGTTGATACCAATAGTTAAAATGTATTTAAATCCTGAGTTATTTTGTCATATTTTCAAGTTCTAGGTATTTAATTTTCCCTTATCATTTTCGAGTTTCAAAATAAATACATCAAACGCGTATCCAAACCTTGCCAATAACAATGCAACCCTTCATACAACCTTCTACTACTTCTAAATCACTTCTAACGTTTCAAGCTTAAAGTCTAAAATGATTTCAAGTCTGCTACTAATTGTACATCGCCAAATAAAAACAAAATTAACCCTTAGGATTTTGTTGATAGAGATGAAATTGCGGTCGAATATTCAGCTGTACATCCTCCCCTTGCTAGGGTTAGGAGTCTATACCAGGGGTTCCCAACCAGTGGTTCACGGACCACAGGTGGACGCAGGAGAGTCCGCGAACGATTTTAAATTTCGTAAGCGATATACCTCCGCGTGGTTACCTGTGGTAGACTAGGCGGGCCAACGATCTGGTGAATTGACTGAAACGAAAAATAAACACCTCCGCATGTCGTAGAGAAATTATATTTGTCTTAGGATTCATCATCATCAATTCAGCCACAGGACGTCCACTTGACTGCTGAACATAGACCTTCCCCAATGATTTTCACATTGCTCGGTTGGTAGCGGCTTGCATCCAGCGCCCTTCCTGCTATCTTCATGATACCGTCCTACCAAACTTGTATTTTCTAAATAAATAAGTCTTCCTTGATTTTTTTATATCGCTGTGAACGTAATACGCAAAGTGGTCCCTGGCCCTAAAAATGTTAGGAACCACTGGCCTAAACAATCTAGCGGTCGCAGTGATGGCCCTGACAGATGCAGAGGGTCATTCGTAGGTAATGAGCGTATTAATACCCTCATTGTTTAGGGTTCGGTCTGCATTAATAAATTATGCCGCCTCTATACGCTACGCTAAGTCATCGGCAAGCTTTAATCACTAGGTACATAGTATTAAAACAAAGTCGGTTTCGCTGTCTGTCCCTGTGTACCTATGCATAGATCTTTAAAACTACGCAACGGATTTTGATGCGGTTTTTTAATACATAGAGTGATTCAAGAGGAAGAAGAGAAGAGGAAATTACGAGTATACTCGTAATACATCCTACCAATAATTATATTATAAATGCGAAAGTTTGTGTGGATGTCTGGGTGTTTGTTACTCTTTAACGCAAAAACTGCTGAACGGATTTTGATGAAACTTTACAGTATTATTGTTTACAACTCAGAATAACATATAGGCTTTAATTTATGACGATCTGTGACAAACTAAATTTCACGCGGGTGAAGCCGCGGGCAAAAGCTAGTGTGTTATATAGTAGAGAACCCGTGCGAAGTCGGGGCGGGTCGCTAGTTGCTTATATTTTGTAGAAGTCGGTTTTACAAATTTCATAAAACTGTTCGGCAGTTTTTAAGTGTTGCAACTTGCAACCATGGTCTAGCTTGATTAGCTTGATCGCAAATAAAAACCACGTCCGA